CCCCTTACCTTTGCCTGCACTCCATGAGTCCCCATCAAGGCTCAGGAGGGTCGTTGCGAGCCGGTACCCCGATGCGACACCCCCGACAGGCCTCCCCTTCACGGGTGACACTCTGCGCGTTCGCGTTCAGAGCGTTTACCCTCCTTCATTGAACGCGCGTTCAACAACTGAACGTGGAACGCAAGTTGATTGAACGCGCCGTTACGTGGTAACACAGCGAAAAGAAAGAGACAACTGCTTGGGTGACAGCTGTACAGTTTCGAATTCACAGGAATGACAGTCCACTGCAAGCTTGGGCGAAGACGAGTTGGACGAAGACGAGTTCAAAATTGAATGAAAAAGAGTAAGGTGGGAGCACAAAGGCCTACCGGTTCAGTAATTGGCAAAAACGGGAGGTGGTCGTCGTTTTTTTTTTTGTTTTTTTTTTTCCCTTTCACTCCTTCAATTTTTATTTTTATTTTTTTCACGCCTTCGATTTTTTTTATTTTTTTTTCCCCACGCCTGCCACGGCGGAGCTGTTGAAGCCACATCCATAGCAGGCCCTGAGGCTCCATGTTTTGCCTCGTTTTCCCAGGGTTGTGGCCTAGGCATCTCGGTCGCGGCCCAGCCATGGGCGTGGCCTAGGCATCTCTGTCGTGGCCTAAACATCTCGACCATGGCCCAGCCATGGGTGTGGGCAAAACTTCTCGACGATGGCCCAGACACGGGTGTGGCCTAGACATTACAGTTGTGGCATAAGCAGGCGCTGAAAGAAAGAAAAGGAAAAAAAGTCAAAGGCATGAAAAAAAAAAAAAAAAAGTTCAAAAACACGACCGCCACCTCCCGTTTTTGCCAATTACTAAACCAGTAGGCCGTCGTGCTTAACTATAGATTGCGTTGGACTTGGAATGTTGTAGAACGTTGTGGGATCTGTGAGGATTTTGTGAGATTTGAACTGCTGAACTATAGATTGCGTTGGATTTGAACTGTTGTAGAAGGTTGTGGGGTCTGTGAGGATTTTGCGAGATTTGAACTGTTGAACTATGGAACATTCGTGATTAAGGGTCTAGTTTGAAGAGGCTATAAGTAGAACGCTGCGAGGTTCAAATGGTTGAATTGTGGAGTATAAGGATGTAGGCTTTAAAGAATTTGTGAGGTTCGAACTATCAAACGGTGGGACATTTTTTTGAACGAGGCTTTGTTTTAGAAGTCTGTATGAAGGTTTCTGTGAGGTTCGGACGGTTGAACTATGGATTATTTTTTTGGATATGACCAGAACCACTGGACTCTGAATAGTACCTCGTGAACAACGATTAGCCTTGGAAGTTATGATTATTTTTTTAGCTGTTTCTAGAAGCAACCAGTACTAGGATATTAGTTTTAGTCTCTATCTTTTTAGGACTGAGTTTTTTTGGCGCTTGACTGACGAATACAGATAAGAAGTAATTGAGTGTCTCATACGATACTGAGTTCTAAGACCCCTGATGAGTGCGGTTTGGCGGTTGCACGAAACTGGTCAGGTCAATCGCCACGAACGACGAAAGTCGTCATGAGCTTCATGTTCTTTTTTTTTGAAGAAGTTGCGTTCGAGATTCATTCTGGCTCTTTTTTGTATCCATTTATTTCTCCACTTCTCCTCCTTCCCTCCTGTTCCTTCCTTATGTGTGGTTCTGTCTGTTGTTGATTGGCATAACGTGGTTTTCATTTATTCAATTCGTGAATGCTACGTACTTAGACGTTGTGCTCCCAGCCTCCCACCTTACTGTTTTTCTTGCAGTTTCGAAYCGGTCTTCACCCAAGCTTGCAGTGGACTGTTATTCCTTCGAATTTGAAATTGTGCAGCCGTCACCCGCACAGTTATTTAAAAAAAAAAAAGCAGGAGAAAAGGCGAGGAGAGACAGATACAAACAAAGAGAGAGTGAAAAAAAAATAAAAATAATATATATATATATATTGAGAGAGAGAGAGAGAGAGAGAGACAGGAGCAACAAAAGAGCAAAGAATAAAGAAAGACCAACACGAGCATACAAAGAAAAAAAGTTTAATATAAAGATTTTTCGTTCCATTAAAGTCAGTAAGTGGCCACAGTATGATAAATCAGATGAAGGCACGCTTATTACGTAGTGGAATCCGCCTTAACTTCAAAAAAATGAAATAATATTATGTCAATTTTTTTTTATTATTTTTTTTTCTTTCTCTCTCTCTCTCTCACACACACACACACACACACACACACGCACACACACACACTCATTTATTTGTCTCTCTCTTCCCATCTCTCTTGTAAGGGCAATCACTGAAACAAAATCGAAGATGACCATCCTATCTCTCTTATAAGACCAATCAACTTCCTTCGCTTGAACGATACTCTTACAACACCTCACGAATAGAAACTCGTTGCAACATTTGCGACAATACTCCTCGGAAGTTCCGAATCGACCCTTTCCTTGCTGATTGTAATCGAGATGAATTGTAGTCTATGTATCATCCAATGTCATGACTACGGGGCCGCTGACCGTTGTGTAACACTGTACGACGTACGGGGGGTTTATCGTACGGCCGTATATACAGCCCCGTACGAAAAAAAAAAAAAAAAAAAAAAAAAACGTTTTTTTAATCTCAAATTTGGTAACGAATTTCAATATGACCCTGAGGCAAAAGTGTTTCAGTCTATTTTTCTGCATAACATATTAGTTTTTCAGATTTTTTTGAATTGTTTTTTTTTTTTGCTTTTTTTCCGTACGTACGGTCCGTACGACCAGATGACCCCGTACGTACGGTCGTACGTATGTAGGTACGGCCCGTATTCGTACGGGGGTCTACATAGGCTGACCGGATGCGGTCACGATCATGGCCGCGGTGGCTAAGCGCGGCCACAACCCCCCGATATTTTTAATTAATAAAATAATAGGCAGAAAAAATCTATATATATATGGGGTTGTAGGGTTTGAAAATCCCTGCATCCCCATATTTGTTTTTTTGGATTCCAATGTTTTTTGTGATTTTTAAATAGGGCACCGAAACAGTTATAGCTAATTCAAAATTGAAAAGTACCATATCCCCGCGTAGAGCGAGCGTGGGAAAGACTCGAAAGCGTCCTATACCTATTCAGATCCATACGAAAATTCCCAGAGTTTTCCGAGACAAAGTCGAGATGCACAAGAAAGGACACGTCCGGTTCCGCTCATTCCGGATTTCCTAACCGTCGACCCAAATTTCTAGCGCGCTTGCTAAGGCGCGCGTATTTCCCATGTATTTCCTGAATTGCAAATTGAAAGATGGAATTCCAAAAAGTGGCCCAAAATGACGAAGGTCCTGAGAAGGACAGGCCTCCCTGATTACGAACAATGCGGATTAATTCATGCAAATACAAAAAGGGGCCTCTTCGCCCTCTTTGCAAGACAACAAAAATTCGAAAAAGAGGGGGGTCGGAAAATCGTGCAGGTCCAGAAACTGGCGCGTCACACGATAACCAGGAAAATATCAAGCGAGGCCGCAAACGGCACAAAGGATCTAGATGCCCCTATGACTTAGAAAGAAGTCTGGCAAGCCGTGAAGCGAATGGCGAAGGGCAAATGCCCGGGGTCGGACGGCCTCCCAATAGAACTCTACCCAATCTGTTGGGAGTCCTTCGCCCCCTTTCTGTGCGAAATGTACAATAGAGCATTAGAGACGAGCTGCTTCCCTCCAAGCTTCACAAAGGGCATGATTACCCTTCTCTATAAAAAGGGAGATAAAACACAAGTGCGCAACAGTTGCAACTGGCGACCAATCTTCCTACTAAATGTGGTTTATAAACTGTTTGTCAAAACAATGGCAATCCGTTTGGCCAAACTGCTTCCAGAGCTTGTAGGTTGGGAGCGCCCCCGGCTGCTACAAGGAATGAACGGACCAGACCTAGAACCGCATTAGGTTTGACTGTCTGGGGAAGGGGACTTTTCGGGAATTAGATAGTGGATTGCAACTCTTTGAGTAGGGTAATACGGATTCTTGGTAGAGAGGGTCAATGTTTAAGCTTAAATTAGCTAGAGGAATGGAGGAGGAGAGGACCAAAAGTAGGAGGAGTCAGATAGATAGAACTAGGAGTCTTAGCCCCGTAGTAATAAGAATTTAGAGTAGAGGGTTCCCCTGTTCGGACAAAATACAAATGCGAGTTCTTCTCGGCCACACATGGATGTGAAGTAGTTGGTAGGACTGTCTTAGGATGTAGTTCGTAGTAGTAAAAGGTCAGAGAAGGAGACCGTTTTGGTCATACGTTACTGTTTGAAGTAGGTCTGGGTTTTCTGTATCCTGTTGCAATGAATCTGATCACCATAAGCTTAACCGGTTGATTATGCCGGGATAACTCCGGGTGAAATTGTGAGGTCCCCGGCCTCTTTTTTTTTTTTTTTTTTTTTTTAACATCCCATTATTATTATAACTGAAAAATTGACGAGGCCGGGGACCTCACAATTCAACCGGAGGTTATCCCGGCAGCGTCAACCGGTTTAGGTTGCCTGTTGTACCATAAAAGGTCCATAAATCCCAAAATGAAAACATGAATCTACCATACAAACGGTCCAGGGGAAACCTAGGACCAAAACCTTTTCCAAACAAATTCGATATTGCTTGTTCCCCTCCATTTCAACAACCCAACGTAAACAGGTCCCACCTAGTTTAAACCTACCACTTCTCGGTTACCCAGAATCAAGAATGTAATTTCCCTCATATCCCCGTTCTTGTCTATAGAGACTAGGCTACCTATACTACTTCCACAGGCCTACAACCGGCCTGACCCCGGCCTACCCCGGCCGGCTGGAACACTAGTGTTCCTATACCCCCTGACACTCTCCCCCCCCTCCCCACTAAGGGTCTACTGTGACCTGAGCAACCGAGTGTCCTAGTTTCGTGTAAAGTGCTGCACCAGGCCAAAAAAACTGAACAGCCCATCAAAAACTCTAAACTAAAGAAAAAGGGAGAACAAGGAAAATAAGCGATTTTGCTCCGATCGAGAGGTCTGGCGACTCGCTCCTTATCCCCCCTGGGGCCCTAACTTCGTAACCACCTTGTGATCACCAGCCCCCTTGTTCTGTGAACGACAGCCAACCGATTGTTGATTGTCCATGTTTTGAGAAACCACCACATCATTCGTCTTGGTGCTTTTCCGCACTTTGCCTTTCTCCGCCAGTCCGCCCAGATTGCCTGTCTCAGCGAGCGTTTGACCGCCGACTTTATCTCCACATCCGAGGAGGGCCTACCTTCGAAGTTGGATCTGTTCCTATCTGCCCAGATAACTGAGCAGATTGCTGCTCTGGCCACATGTGCCACGTACGGCCAACCTCTCTTCCCAGTTTCTTCTTCCTTAACAAATCCCAGCAGCGCCCACCTCTCCCCCCACTCCACATCCCTTCCCCCCAATTGAGACCAGTGATAGGCCCACCAATTCCAAATTCTCTTCGAAGCAAAACAGTCCCACCAAAGATGCTTTGTAGACTCAAAGGGCCACGTGCATCTGGTACATCCCAAGGGGAATGGTGCACCACGACCGTTCAGCCAAACTGCTGATGGGGTCACGAGCAGAGACAACATCCAAAGCAGGCCAGCCTGTTTCACGTATGGTAGTTCTAACAGGATGGTCCAAAGCTTCTCAAAGTCCTTTGCCTTCTCTTGTAGATTTTCAGAGAGGATTGTCCCCCATCGGCTGATTGCTGTGACTACAGGGGACCTTATCTTACCAACTGTCCGTCTGTATGATTCCCCCACAGTGTAATTTGCCAGATCAAGCTTGTCTCCGGTCCACCTTCAAGCTTTAGGATCAATACATAGTTGGTTTAGTGGTACCTGCCCCACCCATCTTGCCCTCTCAATCACTCCTTGCTGATCTTTGCGTTCCAGCATTCTAATCCGTGCCGGGTTTCTCCACTGTCTAACCACTTTCTCTCCTTGCACCTGTAAGTCTCCCGACAACCTGTCTACTCGCCAGCTCTGGACCTCTCTGTATCCACACTGCGTCAGACCCTGTAGTTTCCATACCACCTTACCCTCGCCCTCTAGTTGGGCTGGGAGGTACCATGTTCTTGTTGGATCTAGACCCTTTGGTCCCAGCACTTGAGTCCAGTGAGCCGGCATTGCTCCTATTATAGACCTCCAGTGTGCTTCTACCGCCCTCGGGCCTTGTAGTGCAATCTGGATCTCTTCAAAGGGCTTCCAGGTACCTAGCAGTTGTGACCACAGATCAACCACTTTGGATATCCCTCTTCTAATCCCAGCCCTTCCGAAGGTGGCAGGTTCTGTGCCAGCTAAAAACTGCATACCCTCTTCATTCACGACCCACGGGTTTTCAAACAAGTGTTGTTGGAGTACTTCTTCTTTCGTTTGTGGAGGGGACCTCTCTTCTGGAATGTGCTCTATCCAAGCCTGTCGTACCGCTTCCCATAATTCTGAGGTAAGTCGCTTCTTCATGAAGGACTTCACGAAGAAGCACACCCAGACATCTTCTCTTCTGGATAGTTGCAATTCTCTCATAAGAATCACTTCAGCCAGGAAGATCCAATCTTCCTTCTCTTCTGCCATTGCAATCTTGGACAGCCATCCTCGGAGCATTGCCTGGTTTCTCCTCTGGGGGTCGATCAGACCAAGACCGCCTTGCTCTTTTCGGTAGGTGATCAAATCCCATGCCACCTTCACCAAGAACCCCTCTTCCTTCTTCCCTCCGGGTTTCCAAAGGAATCTTGAAGACAGCCTCCGGATGCTGGTTAGAGTAGGTTTYGTGATTTCTCTTACCGTCCCAATAAATTGGATTAAGAGAACATGGCAGCATTGATTACCAWGGCTCGGCCAAATAGGGACAGGTGGCCGGTCGAACTCCATCCTCCAAGCCTCGCCTCTACTCTTTGGTGGATCACTGCGCCTTGCGCTGCTCCCATAGCCTGAGTGCTCACTAGCACACCCAAGAAGCATTCACCAGCAACCGGATCTACCCGCTGCATGCCCCATTCCACTCGTAGCTCACGGCCAGTTGGCAACAGATAAACCGACTTATTCCAGTTGACCAAGGCTTCTGACAGCTGAGAATACTCCATTAGGACTTCCTTGACAGCACCTAGTGAGGCTTCGGAGTTCTTTGACACGATGAATAAGTCGTCTGCTAAGGCCTTTGACCGACACTCCTTTGTCTCAGACACTTGTCGACCTCGAATAGTTGGGTGCTTCCGGATTCTGTTCAGCGGGACCTCCAGCTGCAGTTCAAACAGTAGTGGGGCTAAGGGACAGCCCTGCCTCAGCGATCTCGTCAGCTTGAAGGGGGAAGAAAGGTGACCGTTGATTTGTATCGAGGATGTGGCCATCGTATATAGAGCTATAACCCGTCGACAKAACCCTTTGCCAAAATTCATCCTCCTTAACGTTGTAAGTACAAAAGACCATCCGACTCTGTCATAGGCCTTTTCCATGCCCAGCAACAGGACGGCCATATCCATCTGCCCTTCTCTAATCTCTTCTATGCATTCGATTGCTGTAAGGATATTCACGAAAATGGAACGCCCCTGTACAAAGGCACCTTGATCTCTGCCCACCAATTCTGGGAGGCATTTCCCTAACCTCAGCGCCAACGTCTTGGCCAGAATCTTGTAGCTGACATTTAGAACTGAGATCGGGCGGTAGTTACGTGCATTGGCCTTATCACCTTTTTTGAACAGCGCCGAGATCACCCCGTGTGTCATGCATTGTCCCAACTTTCCCCCCTCTAGGACTTCATTGAATACTTCCAGCATCGCTGGTCCCATTGCATCCCAGCAAGCCCTGTAAAACTCTACAATTAGTCCATCCCTTCCCGGGCACTTCCCTGACACCATCTCCTTCASTGTCTGTTGCACTTCCTCCCCGGTGACCGGTCTGTCTAGAGCCTGTCTCTGCACCGGAGATAGCAAAACCGTCGTGTCTTGCCACATGTCAATCTCTCCTGCTAGGTCTGTGTCCACCGTGTCTTCCTCTCTTCTTGTGGTAAGAATGTCTGCAAAGTATGTCCTTGCATATTCCATGATGCCTGCAGGAGTTGTTGCCGGAGGTGCGGAGGAGTCGAAGGGGTGGTCCAGTTGGACGACTTGATGGAAGGACCTGCTGGGGAGCAGTCTTCTTAACGTATCCTTGTTCAATCTGTCCTGGAAAATTATCCCCTTCACCCTCAACGTTTCTTCCCACCTCACCTGTTTCTCCACCTGAATCTTGTCCCAGTTTGCCAGCCTTGCTTCTCTCTCTGCAGCCCAGACTAGTTCAGATATGGGATGCTCCTCAATCCTTCTTTCCGCTTCTTCCACTAGTTTCCGACACCTTTCTTCTTCTTGATTCCTCCCTCTCGCCAGGATTCTTGAGCAGATATTTAACACCCCAGAAATGATAGCCGCTCCCGCATCGAACCACTCTGCTGCAGAGGTAAAATCTGCCCTTGCTGACTGCCAGGACTGCATTTGGTCCGCCACCCAATCTCTAATCCCTGGAATCTCCAGGCTCTGAGCATTCAGCTTAAAGTAGCCCTTCCCTCTTTCTAGGGGCTGACTTACTACGAAGTCTGCTGTCACAGGTTTATGGTCCGACATCGGGTGCAGCATTTGCCTAACTTGGGTCACGCCCTGCGCCATCCCTTCACTCACCATAAAATAATCCAACCTTCTTCTGGTGACCTCCCCTCTCTCCTTTCTGATGTTTGAGTACCATGTGTACGCTAGATCATCCGGATTCAAGATGCGGAATGAGTCCACCAGTCTCCTTTCTTGCAGGAACTCCTGTAGGCTAACTGCGTCTCTTCTCCCTGCTGAACGCGAGTTACTGCGCATCACCTCGTCCTTCCTATTTTGCAATGACAGGGAAAGTGTTAAAAAAGAAAAAAAGAAAAAAAAAAAAGAAAGAAGAAGAAGAGCCTGCAACAGTTTGGTGGGAAAATGGCCCGGGACTCTCCCCACCCGCTGATAGTTTGGTGGAAAAAATGGCCCGGGACTGTCCCCACTCGCTGATCCTCTCGATCAGATGGCCCACATCGAATTTCCAACTGGCTTCCGGCGCCCAGCGTGCCACAAACCCTTAGCCCCCCACGGCTAATGCACCATAAAGGGGTAGGATGCTCTCTAGATTCTCTGACTTATAAGCTGAAGTACGAGCGTTCCCAGAAGTATCCCGTCATCTGTCCGCAAGTCTCTCCGTTCTGTCGGGGTTACTTGTGCTTGTTTCCCACCAAAATGCCTGACAGACGGGGCGTTTGCACAGGCATTCAATAAGTGGTGCTGATCTTTATAATTAACCATAAAGACTGACGAGCATGCTCTGCAAAATGACTGGCCTTTCCTTCTTCTGTGATTTAACATTGCAGGCTTCGCAGCAGTCCGAACTGAATTACATGTGATTATTAATTAACCACAGGAGTCCTGTGTGCCTGGCAAGTTGGCAACCACTAGAGTCGATAGGAGAAGTTCAACTCCATAAGGGAAGTGCGTGAACCTGTCGGCGGATATAATACAAGAGTCCATAGGGGAAAGCAGAAAGATTCAGAAGTGTGTGAACCTGTAGGCGGCTAGTATACACCCTATCCACTGCATAAGTTTAGTCCACATGCATGTGGATTCGAGCTTACTAGGTCTGCATGTCGACTGTTCATGGCTGTACGAATTGGCAGCAAGCTACCGTAGGCCCGTTGGTACGTTGGCCCAACCTTCCTGAACCACTGCCAGCATCTGTGAAAACGTCCAACTTGGAACAAGACTATCGAATCGGATCTGATTTCCTGCATCTGGGCATAAAACACATGAAGATGCGCTTGCAGGCGCTTAGCCTAGTAATCCTGTTTGCTAGCGAGACTGCGCCCCAGGCCTACGGAGACGGACGGACGGCTGACAAGCAACGACAGACTCTGACTCAGATTTCACATAGAATGGTGGACTGAGAACAGTGAGAAGTCGTGGGGGCCACAACGTGGCGAGCGTGGAGGCAGCGAACAACGTAATCAGGGACACCCAACCAACTAAAAAAAAAAAAAAAAAAAAAAAAAACTGGGTGAACCTGCTCATACTACCACAGTTTTCCCCTTTCCCGTTGTCCCTTTTCTGATTCAAGGCTTTTTTCAAGCCATCGTATAAGTAACAATGTATGTATATTGATCGTGGAACAATGAAATTCCACATAACGCCCTGCATGATCTGGACCAAATGAGTATATTCCCCCTCTTTTTTATAAAGTTTTTTTTTCTTTTTTTTCTTTTTTTCTTTTTAAACTTGCTGCAGTCTATTCCTAGGGCGCTGCATGTGTCCGGAACGGGGCCCAACGTTCCCCCATAAATAGGGAGCTGCATGCATTGTGACCGGATAAATTCACACTACTGGTAGTACCGGGAGGCTGCATTAGACAATAGATAGCGATGAATACTCAAAACAATCATGTTACAGTAGTCGAGGTTCTTTTTTTTTTCTTTTTTTTTTTTTGTTTTTTAAGTAAAGTAGTCGAGGTTTTAATCTCACAGAGTAACCACATTCAATTTGTCCGTGCGATGGGGGAAAAGCCCATTGCAAAAGACCTTCTACGTCACGCTTCTCAGTCTAAAAGCAGGAGAGAGACTTGAAAAAAAAAAAAAAAAAAAAAAAAAAAAAAAAAAAAAAAAAAAAAGAAAAAAAAATAAAAAAAAAAAAAAAAAAAAAAAAAAAAAAAAGGCAGGAGAGAGGTAAACTGAACACACTGGAGCAATGAAATTCAAACCAGGAGAAATATCTTAGGACCAGGTGTGAACGGAGTGGGAGTTTTCCGTTGGTTGGTATACCCAGCAGGAACCTGATGAACCTCAGCTCGATGAGTGGCATTGATATTTCTAAGGGGAAACTACGCGGGAGTCACAAAAAAATGAGTTATAACTGCACTATGGGCCAAGATACAGATTCGAATTGCAGTTCGGGCAATGGATTGGATACAACCCAGCTTTCTGGCCAGGTACGGTGCCCGAAGGGCAGTTGCGAACTGTATCTTGCCCCATAGTGCTATAGGGCAATTGTGATGCAGAATGACACGCAAAAAGCGAAGAGAGAAGGGCAAAGGGCATTTGCTGCAGTAGGACATTTATGAGAGGGCGTTTGCGAGATGGTCCGCGGACAAAGAAGGGCAAAGGGCATTTGCTATAATGCCACTGTTTGCCCTTTTTCTTTCTCTCTTTTCTGAATCAGGCAGGGCCTGGCCATCGTATACGTAACAATACATGTATCATTGTATCATTGCATCTTGATCGTGGAACAATGAAATTCCAAATAACGCCCAACATGCGACATGGGGGCTGGTTCGTACAGCTTCGCTCTCGGAGCAGCACTTTGCGTTGCCGACCTGCCCAAATTGGTCACGGAGGAGGTCCGGGAGGGTGTCTGGGTAGGTGGGTTTTCCCCGATGCGTGCATACAGTAGGGAGGTGCCACTCAAAAGGACCGACCCACCCACCCACCCACCCACCCACCCACCCGTACCTGCCCTTGACCAAGTGGGGCAAACTGGCAACACACAGTCACAGTGTCGGTCCGAGAGAGCAGCTGCACGAACCAGAGCCCTCGTGTGTGTGGCGTGTTGCATCCATCCTTGCCCTCCTCACAGACGAGGACAAAAAAGTAGAAACGAGGGCGGCCAGTCGGTGCTGTAGTTCACGGTTGTGAGTATGCCCAGAGGTTTGGGCAGGCAGCCGAGTGCTTGGCGGGAGCGCGTGCGCAGCGTCAAGGCAAGTATAAGTACGCGCGGCTGGACCAGTCGTCAGCACACGACCTGAAGTGAAGTTGGCCACTGTGCGTCTTTTCCGGTTGCACACGGTTCAAAACTTCAAGCGCCAAGCAGCGGGCGGAGAGGCGAGGCGGGCGGTGGAGTACGGGGCAGTGAGAAAGGAGCTTCCTGGTGCTCTGTTCATCCGAGGAGAGAGAGACTATCATCGTAGCACGGTAGGCTCGGTAGCTGCTGCCATCATGGATGCTGCCTGCAGACGGGTGACGGCTTGGAGTCCCCGCATGGCCCCTCTTGCTGCTGCTACCAGCATGCGGTGGCTGGTTGCCCTCACCGGTGTGGCGATTGCCGTCCTGCTGATGCCGTCAACGGCTGCCGCGAGAAGAGGACTGGAATCAGTGGATGGCCACTTGCTTGCCACCGCTGTACCCATGTTTTTTGAGAAAGCTGACGCCGGCGAGCTCCAGGAGCGGCAGTGTGGGCCGACGGTCGAAGGGCGTGAGACCCCTCGGTGCCGTTTGCAGCCGCCCTTGAACAAGCTATATGAAAACCGCACCTATTTGGATGCCAGGTGGGTTACGGTCAAGCTGCAGGGCGGCTTCAACGACGCCGCCTATCAGGGCGTCATAGAAGGCATTTCCTACTTCAACGGCAAAAACGTGGACGGGACGACGATTTCTCTTGCATCGCCAATCAGGATCAATGGGACACTTCCTGGCGAATTACCTGGCATTGCGCACACTACCCTCTTCGTGCCCTCGTCATTCACTGGGAGGCTGCCCAAACCTCAAGACAGCAACATCTTCAGCGAGACATGCAAGTACGAGCAGTTCTATGTGCTCAAGCTCGACAGCGATTTACCGACGGTGGACATGTTCCGCCTAGGTAAATTCACTCTAACTTACCTTCTGAATTTGGATGACGTCAAGTATAGGGAAGATACTTTCCAGCTTGTCAGCTATGGCCCGCCTTTCAGCGCGCAGCCGCTAGAGGTATGGGTCGCTGGGATTGAGTCATTCTGTGTCCCGCCGCTGGAATAACTTGATGATATATAGAAAGGCAGCGAGGTTGGCCCTTGCTAAGGCTTGCTTACCGTCGAGCCGGGAGGGTCCGAGGGATCGGAAGATATCTAGCTCTCCTCTGGCCCAGGGGTAGAACTCAGAAAATCTGTTGTATTGCAATGTAATCTGTAGACTAAGAGTCTGTGGAGACGACCTTTTGGGCCTGGTGGATCACGAGCTCAACCTGTCTATGGTGGTTGAAGTGTTTGAAAAGGAGGGTTCCGTGGGGGTTCATGAGTTTGGGGCTGGCTTTGGTAGAAGCTCTTTCTGAAATACTACTGCATTGTCCCCTGCGCCTTCGTCTTCTTGCCTTCCCGGCAAAAGGCCGCCATTCCGCATCTCTCTCTCTCTCTCTCTCTCTCTCTCTCTCTCTCTCTCTCTCTCTCT